AAGTTGACAAGTTATTTTCTGAAATGTGAGAAGGATTCTTTGTCCCTGCTGAGAAAACCAAAAAGATTCAGAAAGTCAAAGTTGGCAAAATGATTTTTGTTCCTTTTGTAATATGTCATCCTTATATTAACAATAAATCTCATTTCAAGTGCAGACACCTGAACTTGCATTTAGAGGTGAAGTATCTAGTTAAAATGGGACCTGGAATAAAAGTTGTACTTGTTGTGTGTTCATTAAAATCACATTTCATACAAGGCAGACAACCAAATTGCTACACATTAAAATATATAGCCAAAGTAAAAATGACAGTATATAAGATCAGGTAAAATCATATAAGGTTAAAATAGCAATAGAATAAAAGAGACATAAAACTTCAAGAAATCTAAAAAGATGTCACAATGCAAAGGACAACAAATTTGTTTTTAATAAATATTAATTTAAATGTGCATGCCATCTAAGCTGTGTGCACATGGAGACATAGATGATTCAGCGTGGGCAGATTAATTTCAGATACTCGATATACCAAGAATCACCTAAAGAAGTGTCTCCAGGTTTGATGCTGTTATATATAATGAAGTAGAAGTGATCACACTGAAATTAAAATTGTCAATTGAATATAATAATACCATTGCTATGAGTACAATAGACTGCTTTCTAATCTACATTCACTGGCAGCAAACTCAAACCACATATAAAAGTATATTCGTGCATTTTCTAGCTGAACTGTAAATATTGTTACAACACGATGCATGCAGGTGTTTTGTGTTTTACTGCATGGCTACAGTCTGTAGTTAATCTTACAGCTCACTAGGTTGCGTATATAGTATATTTCCTCAGGATTGTGAAGATGTAGGACAAGTTGTGTGACTAGCATAAAGACTTAAGGTTCAACACATTTCACTGACCAAGTAAACTTGCTTTATTGCACATCCATGAGCATAAACCTTTCCTCAGTATGTGGTTTTATCACTTTATTTTTTCATGCTCAAGTATCTGAGTCCTTCAGTGTGTAAACTATGAATAAACTATATTTTCATCCCAAGATGACAAAGTCTCAGTCATGTAATGGTCTCTTTCTTTCAAGCTCAAACTGATTCATTGCTATTTTATTTTACTCAAAAGAAAAGAAAAATGTTAAGGATATCTTAACTGGTCACCATTTACCAGTTCTCTGTGTTTAGTCCGCGGTATGCATGAGGAGAAACTTTCCATCAGCATAAACCGTTCAAATTCCAAGGTTAAAATGCATCTGGTTCCAAAAATTGAAGGAAAATTCATGCAAAACAGCATGGAAACATTTTAGTTACTCAAGTAATGTAATGAAATGCACCTACCTTTGCCATTTTTAAACCCTCTCTGACTTTTGCAGAAAACAAAGATGATATTCACAGTCACACTAAAGGCCAACAACACACCGAGTGCAAGGACAACCGGGTCAAGTTTTGCTTCTGGAAAAGACACACATGATATTCATGATTATTCACCCCAGATTTGGAGAAATCACAACATAAAACTTACTGAAAAATGTTTAATGTTCACATCAAAGTCAAAGTAAACTTTCTTGCTATCTCTGCTACATACAGTCCAGTATATAGAGAGACGAGACGACGAGGCTCCAGTTCCTTTCAGTGCAAAGGACAGCAAGAAATATAAGAAGAGTAATAAAGAAAGAAATATACACTTTAAGACTGAGGTAAAGGTAAAAACATAAAAAATAGATATTTTTGGCTGCAAAACAATTTCTTGAGAACATTTTATTAAGTGAGTATTACAAATAGGAAATTATTTATTCTTTATAAAATGTTTAAATACATGATGCAGTAGTTATTTACCAGCCAAAGAGGCTGGAACAGCTAATAAAAATGCAGCCAATGATGATATAATTTATCACACTAGAGTTGGCCTCGTATATGTCCATATTACTGATATATAAGAAGTTTAATGCATTTATATTTCCCTTGAAAACATTTAAGATCTACCCAGTTATTGACTAAAATGTCATGATTTTAAGAGATTTAAGATCTGACATTAAAACATACTTATCTCCACTTGAGTTCCTTCTCCAAACACGATCTCTGCACATGTGACCACTGCACAGTAGTAGATCCCAGCATCAGAGGAGCTCTGAATAGTTTTGGACAGACTGTGGACACAACGCCTTCCCTCTTGTTTTTGACTGTAGTTTCTGTGAGTGTAAATAATCGTGGCATGGGATTGTCCTGATCCCGCTCTGAACCAGTACACTCTGTGTTCATCTGGGCACTCGCTTCTGTTCTCGTTGTTGTTGGAGAAAAGTGAACACTGGAGAGTGACGGAGCTGCCTGGGTGGACTGACACTGCCTCCGGAGTTTGTTTCACGTACACTGCTCTCTGCTCACTGTGACCTGGGTTGTTCAGTAAAAAGCAGTGATAATGGAATTAAAATATTTAAAAATATAATACCAGGTTTCCTCAAAACATTTGTGATTACTAAGTGAGGTAGAAATAAATGAACATATCACATAGTTTACCATTTACAGCCAAGTAGACGCTTGTATTAAAGGTCTGTGAATAAGCTGATCCATACTGACAGGAATATGTTGCTTCATCCTCTTTTTGGACATTTCTCATGGAGAGAAAATACAAAGACTGCCCCTCTGATACTGTGAAACGACCGTTGTTAAATTCTTCGCTCAGTGTTTGTTTTGTGTAAGATCCTGTAGCAACTGTCTGGATGATATATCCTGGAGATTGCTTAAACCAGTGAACAAATTTTCCTTCCTTCTCTGTAACCGGACACTGCAAAGTAACATTTTTACCAACTTCAACTTCAATCAAAGGGATCTGGTGGGCAGCCTCTGCGCTTTGACTCAGAGCTGAAGAAACAAGACAAAAAGAGACAAAACCAGTAAACATTACAAATCTTCCCTCTTAAACAGTATTGTCTTTACATTATACTGCACCTGTTAAATCTGTGTAAACAACACTAGATCATCTTGTACTTACCTATTGTAGTAAAAAGAATCAAAGCAGTCTGTACTCCAATCATTGTGGTGAAACACGCTTGTCTTGCATGACAGATGCCTTCCTACTTAAATGAAAGTTTAGTCACAAGATCATCAAAGTGTTTCAAGTGGAAATCATCCTGATTGGCTGAAAAGTCTGGTAATACACTTCCTCGAAAGTGTTTTTTCTTTTTTTGTTGTTATAATTTTACTGTTGTGTGACTGGTTGATGTTTGTATGCTCTTTGATACAATATATAGAAAGTAAAATTCACAGTGATTGGCTAAAACACAGAAAATGTCCTGTGCATCTAAGAAACAAATGTCAAGTGCATACACTGCAGCTGATAGCCATACTTTCCTGCAAAATATTAGGTAATCTTATCCTGATTAAACCTCACTAATTGATGTGTTTATCTGCATTTGGAACTGTTGATCCATGGATTAGGGGTTTTGCAGGTGGAATAAGAAATCCCTAACCAGTACAGAGCCAATATAAACATGGAGTTACTGAAGAGATTTAACTTAAAGTGGACATGAAACACTTCATTTATAAAGGCTAATTTACAACATGACTTACATCAGTTTATGTTAGCTAACTAGTTTTGTACATCCCAACTCAGATACGTTTGTTATAGTTTTGGACAGACTGCAGACACATCTCTGTTTCTGTTGCCTTCTGAAACTATTGTGGTAAATTATGTTTGGATGGGATTCCAATTGAATTGACTTGAATTGAAAGACATAAAGAACAGGTGACCTCTAATTTTCTGCTTCTAATTTCGATTTAAACTGAGGTTATTGTACTCATCCCTAAAAAAATCTTGTCTAACCAGATACTTAATCAGGATGGCATTACCTTTACCTCCAGTGATACTGCGAGGAATCTTGAAGTTCTTTTTGACAAGGATACGTCCAAGATATGTGCATATTAAACAAATATAGAGGACTGCTTTCCTGCATTTTTGCAATAGCTTCAAAATTAGAAACATCCTGTCCCAGAGTGATGCTGAAAAACTAGTTCCTGTATTTATTTACTTTTAACCTGGACTGTTGTAATGTATTATCATCAGGCTGAAGCGACTGGTCCTAAAAACTCCCTGAAGAGCCTTCAGTTGATCAAAAGTGCTACAGCAAGAGTACTGGCATATTTCTCTTCATAGGCTCCCTGTTAAATCTAGACTCACATTTAAAATACTTCTATTCACATACAAGTTCTTGAATAGTCAGTTACCATCTTATCTTGTGTCTAGTATCTAGTACCCGATTCATGCCTTGCCATGCCAAGACTTCAGTGTTTTGTATTTTAGTTTGTAGTTTTCAGCAATACAGCTGCTTAAGTTCACGTTATGTCTCCAGAGTCCTGCACTTTGGTCCTCATCCTGCCTGCCACACAGTCAGACCTTGACAATTGAAAGTAGAATGGGAAGCAGAGCCTTTAGCTTTCAGGCCCCTCTGCTGTGTAACCAGCTCCCAGAGCAGAACAACCGAATCAAACATTTTTCAAGCCTGAACAGAAGAGGTGAAGGGCTGAATAGTGAGGGGGAGCAGGTGCCTTGGTGTCAAAGTTCAGACCTGAAGTGTGTAGTTACTTTTCTTTAGCCAGGTATAGTGTAAGAACAATGGTTATAGACGGGTATGAAGCATGTCTAACCTCCATAACAGGAGTTCAAATTTATAAAAATGTATATTTTATTTAGTTTTCACTACAATGGATTTAGATGAAGTACATCAGCACATAATAATTGATGAATCTATGTATATAGATTATAAATATTATTACATGTTTAAGCATTGCAAAGCCTCCAGCATACAATGTCAACATGGAGGAGAGGAAGGCACTCACATCACTTAGTAATGACAACAATATTATCATCCTTCCAGCAGATAAGGGTAGGTGCACAGTATTGCTAAACCAGAAAGACTATCATGAGAAAATTTTGCACCTGCTCAGTGACAAAAATACTTAAGAACCCCTGAAACGAGACCCAGAAAGTTGTTACAGGAAGAGGGTGATAGATTGTCTTAAGCAGTAAGAACAAGACAATGCTATTGACCTGACCTCATGCCACAGGCTATACCCAGGAAATCTACACCAAGTCTGTATTGTTTACCAAAGATAATTAAACAGGGTGCACCTTATCATACATAAGTCTGTATGATCGGTCACCTATATCATCTCTAAGTTTCTGGCTTCGATCCTCAACCCCTTGGTAGGCAGCTCCGAACACCACATTCAGAACACCTTGGATGTTCTAGTCACTGAACCGGTTCTGTGATACACAAGTTTTGCAAACAACAAAGTTATTTGCATCCATTTACCTTTTACCTTGATTTTTTAAATAACCATTTCAAACTATTTACAGAACAATCAGCTGTTCTGCATTCAGTAAGATGCCACACAAATTATCTGTGCCACTCCAGCAAAATAAATTCTGTCCACTATAAAGGAAACATCACAGCCTGATACCTGCAGGTCTGACAGCAGCAGGTGTATCACTCCTGTTTCTACCTGGAGACAGCAGTCGCCTGATTGTTTGGACACACAACACAATACTATCCACAACACTACACACTAATACACAAGACAACACATTAACTACACACTCCAAACATGCCAAACGTCACAAATCCCTCACATCTCAAAACTCGCTCTCTCTCTTTTTCTGCTGTCTTTCTCTCTCTCTCTCTCTCTCTCTCTCTCTCTCTCTCTCTGTCACTCCTAAAACTTCCCCTGTTTTTTGGTTGTTTTTTTTTTTGTCATAAGCAGAGAGTGCTTGCTAGCGCTGTCTTTAGACCAGGGGTCGGCAACCGCATGCGGCTCTTTAGTCCTTATAGTGCGGGTCCGCGTGGTTTGGGAAAATACATTTGTTTTTTTAAGTATTCAGCTGAAGTGTATTTTATTTATGTTTATTTATGTTCTTTTTAACTTCCATCCATCCATCCATCTTCATCCGCTTTATCCGAGGCCGGGTCGCGGGGGCAGCAGCCTAAGCAGAGAGGCCCAGACCTCCCTCTCCCCAGCCACCTCCTCCAGCTTATCCGGGGGAACACCAAGGCGTTCCCAGGCCAGCCGAGAGATATAATCTCTCCAGCGTGTCCTGGGTCTGCCCCGGGGCCTCCTCCCGGTGGGACATGCCTGGAACACCTCACCCAGGAGGCGCCCAGGAGGCATCCTTGTCAGATGCCCGAACCACCTCAGCTGGCTCCTTTCGATGTGGAGCAGCAGCGGCTCTACTCTGAGCCCCTCCCAGATGGCCGAACTCCTCACCCTATCTCTAAGGGAGAGGCCAGCCACCCTTCGGAGGAAGCTCATTTCTGCCGCTTGTATCCGCGATCTCGTTCTTTCAGTCACTACCCACAGCTCGTGGCCATAGGTGAGGGTAGGGACGTAGATTGACCGGTAAATTGAGAGCTTCGCTTTTACACTCAGCTCTCTTCACCACGACGGACCAGTGCAGCACCAATCCGTCTGTCGATCTCCGGCTCCCTTCTCCCATCACTCGCGAACAAGACCCCGAGATACTTGAACTCCTCCACTTGGGGCAGGAACTCATCCCCGACCCGGAGTGGGCACTCCACCCTTTTCTGCCTGAGAACCATGGCCTCAGATTTTGAGGTGCTGATCCTCATTCCCGCTGCTTCACACTTGGCTGCGAACCGTTCCAGTGCGAGCTGGAGGTGACAACTTCATGACAATCAAGCAATCAAACAATCAGTAATGTTTGTCTCTGTGCACACAGTTATATATTTTAGTGTCTCAGTGTTCAACCCCTTTAGTCTATTATACTATCATTTTAAAAACAAATTTGGCAAAAACTCAAACTCATCGGGAAATTAAATTATTACACAAATAACTGACTTCCACTTGCACTATGTCATTCAGACTTGTTCTTATTCATTACATAAAAACTAATATACTAATGAGTAACAATAAATTACCGTAACACTGAATGTGGAACATTAACTAACATCATACACAGTCTCACCAAGGCCATAATCCACTTTCCTGTTTTGATTTCCTGAGGAAACTGTTGTGAACATAGTATGTGTTGTCTACAGTAAACAGCCCACTGTAAGAAAACCAATATGAGAGTCAAACATAAAATACCATGAGTGTGTTGCTTGTGTTGTTTCATGTGTGTAAACTCTAGGTATGGTATATTTCCATTGTGGTAGTGCAGTGAAACAGCACGACAATGAGAAGCCAATAAGATTGCTCTAAAAGTTGTCCCCTCCCATTTGTTACTATTAGATGTAGACAAATCCTTTCATAATGCAGCTTCAAATGTCTGCTGTGTCAAGAGGAGAAAAAAAATAAAATGCTGACATTTTTTTATATACTGCTCCTGATCAAAATTGGGCGTAAGTACAGAATTCTTAATCACTGTGGTGTATTAATCTAAAAGATTATATGACTACATCGCTGTTGGTAACCATGATTCTGTTTGTTATTAATTTTCAGGATGCTCAGATCATCAGATCTTTGACACCAAAAATGTTGCTGTTGGGCAAAATGTGACTCTGAATTGTTCCCGGGATCATCGTTGGCTTTCAACAAACTTATTTTGGATCAGACTTGTTTCTCAGAGCTTTCCTGAAGTTTTAGGATCAACAGTATCTTATGATGTTCCGATTATTGAAAAGGTTCATCATATTACAACAAAACAAGAGCCTGGAACTTTTGTTCTACATATCAACGGAGCACAGTTAAGCGATACAGCTGTTTATTACTGCATCAAAGTAAGACAGCGAACCATGACATTTTTGAAAGGAACTTTTCTT